CAGCCGCTGCAGGGTGATGGTGCCCGGCGGGCCATGCTGCTGAAGCTCCTGCAGAGACAGACCTACACCTGCCTGTCCCACCGATATGGGCCCTGCCTTTGCCTCGGAGGCATCGTCCTCCTGATCGTCTCCGCCCTGCAGTTCGGCGAGGTAAAGCGCGATCCCCGGTGCCCGGCTGCGAGCACCCTCCATCCGAGGACCGGGTCCCCGTTGCCTGCGACCCCGCATCCCCCCGTGTTCTGTCTCGGCTCTTCCGGGAGGGTTGCTCACTCCTTCCGCCGGCCTTCCATCTCTAAGGGATTTTCCTTCTTCAGGTCGCATTTTTCACTTCGCTCCCTTCAGAATAGCTCTTTGCTCACTTGTGGATGCCAGCGCGGCCTCTGGGCCCCTAAGAGTTGCGTGACTGGCAGAAGCATTTCCCCCCAGTCGCGTCTCAGCCAGGGCCAAAAAACGTTACCTGTTGGATTTCTCTTTGGCGATCACTCTAACAAAAACGCAAAGATCCTGCTGCAAACTTTATTTTCCTGCACGGGCTGAACCTCTCTCGCTTTGCGTCTTCCTCCCGTGCTCGGATCCTTTTCCTTTCCAGCTTCTTTGCAGCGTAACAAGTAACCTCTCTGCAATTGTCGCTTAACTTGATTGCTATGACTCCCTGCTGCAGGCTCTGGGCCTTTTCCCGTACTAGCAGCCCCCACGGTGTCCATATAGTAAAGGCCGTGGAGGCAGCCGTCGCAGGGCCCGCAAGCGCAGGAACGCGTCGTTCCCGGGCTCCCGCTCCTGGCCTTCCGCAGGTTTGATCGCTCAGCGCAGAGCTGACCAGATCTGGGCCGCAAAAATGCGGGCGGCCATTAGGTGGCAGAAAGAGAGGAGGAGGTTGGTGGTGGTGTTTTCTTTTCTTGTTTTCACTCTCTGCTGCCATTTCTAGAGGTCATCCGCAAGTTTGCCTGCCAGGCGTGGTAGCGCAGCATGCGCCGAAACAGAATAGTGGCGCAGAGGCGAGGAAGAAGCGAGGGAAAGGCGAGGCGCGGTGGTTCTTCTGCCGCCGCCGCCGCGGTTCCTGAGCCTCTCAGCCGTTGACTCAGCGGCAGTTTGGGCCGGAAAAGGAGTTCTCCGGGACCCCAGCCGGGCGGTTGCCCTTCCTCTTCTCACTGGCTTCCTTGTGGGGGAGAGCGAATAAGCATGCCAGGCATTAGCTGCAAAAGTCTGGACAGTTGGTAGGTGGCAGCAAAGAACCTCAGAATCTCTTAATTCGTTAATTTCATCGGACTTTTGCAATCTAAAGAGAGGTAAACCTAAAAGAGAAAGGCTTAAAAGGGGGTGGGGTGAGGAATTTCTCAGAAGGGGCTGTGCCTGCAGGGAATCAAGCAGGGGAGGAGAGAACCCATGAATGATAAAATATGGCCATTAGCACCTTTCAGTCACACAGAAGACAGATAACTATAAAACAAGCTGGAAATTAGCTGCTGAGAAATTATGGGGTGTCATAATCAAGAAGGCCATATCCCGTATTTCTGATGGAAGAGGTGGGCTGAGGAAGATCAACTGGTGAAATTCTTAACACAGCTTAACACACACACTCCTATGAGTTGTCCCTTAAATGTATGGAGGCAAATGGGTGAAAAGTTGAAGGATTTCTGCAAGGAACAAGCAAAATGGGTGTAAATGTCTCTCCTTCTGTTCCTCCCCATGAACATGGAAACTGATAGCTAGCTAGTTAATGTCAGATGACCCTGTGATTTATAGATAAGCTCCAGATCATGTAGAGGGCTGTGCTAGATGTCTAGCAGCTTTCATCAGCTGATCACAGGGTCAGTGAAACCATATGACCTGAACTCCCCCACCCCTAATGTTTTATATGAATTTTTATTTTGTGGACTCTTATGGGGCCTTGTTGTGGAATTCATAGGTTGTTTCAGAATCCAGTAATAAATGTCTACAGGGGTGGTAAATCAGGACAAATGACAAACTGGACATTGTAAGGCCAACCACATGACTTACATACATGTGTGCGGTCTGATGACAGGACACGAGTACAAAAGGCCAAGGTTGGTGTTATGATATCATGACACACATTTAGTCATTTATTTGTCATTGTGGTTTGAACTGGACAACAATCCTTTGAAATCCAGTAGTCAAGAAAGACTTCACAGGATTATAGACTGGGGTAATTCTATTCTGAAATTATTTGTGGGATGAAGTTATCTGCAAAGTAGGTGATAGAATGTATGAAGAAAAAAAAGGACTTAATATAGGAATTTACTGTACTGGAGACTGACAGTTCAGTTTTACACATATATGTCTGGAAAAAGAAAGAATTATACCCAAGAAACAAATTAGAGCAGTGTTTCTCACCCTTGGCCACTCGAAGATGTGTGGACTTCAACTTCCAGAATTCCCTAGCCAGCATGGCTGGCTGGGGAATTCTGGGCGATGAA